CCCCCCCCCCCCCCCCCCCCCCCCGCTTTGCTTCCCCCAATTTATTTTGTTTGTCTCCATTCCTTTTCATAAATATTTTCCGCCTTTACTTCACTGCAGATTCCTGAAGAGGAGAAAAACCTTGGTGCTCTTGGCCCGCTTGATTCATGTGTACCATTTTATGAAAGATCCTGCTCAGAATCAAGTTGTAAGTTTAGGTTTAAGGAAGGAAAAAGCCTGTTAACTGAAATCAGGCATGCGGGGTTGCATGCATGTTTGTTTCACTATACTGTGTTCGTTTCTTTTAATCAAAATGACGTTCACATGGCTCCTTTATTTGTCTCCTTACAGCAGGTTCAAAATTTTGGGGATCCCTTCTTCTTGGCCATTCATGAGGGTGAGACTTTGGAAGAGGTTAAAATCCGTATACAAAAGAAGTTGCGTGTTTCCGATGAGGAGTTCTCCAAGGTGAATTTATTTTTTAAACCACTATATATATATATATATATATATATATATATATATATATATCTAAAATAGAGACTTGTACTTAGTTGACAGAACATTTTTTTCATACCAACTTCTGAATATCTCAATCATATGCAGTGGAAGTTCGCATTTTTGTCTTTGGGTCGACCTGAATATCTTCAAGATTCAGACATCGTATCTAGTCGTTTTCAGGTATTGATAACTCTCCTTATTCATTTATCCTCGTGATATGTATACGTTTATCAATGAATGTATTTTAATGTGGTCCATCATGTTCCTTCTCATATTGATATTATATCTATAATCTATATTCCAGAAAAGAGACGTTTACGGTGCTTGGGAACAGTACCTCGGCCTGGAGCACTCTGATAATACTCCAAAACGGTCGTACGCAGCCAACCAGGTAATAATATATCTACGAAACTAATTTTCCATAAATTATTATTAGAGTAATCCTGGTAAAAGAAGTGACATGGTGGGATCATATTTTTTTCTTCCTTCATTCTTTTCTTTTTTATATAAACATGGAACTTATTGTATTGGGGGCTTATTAGTTGTTTTTGATATTGCAGAATCGGCACGCATATGAGAAACCTGTTCGAATCTACAACTAATACATATATACTGGACTGCATTGCAAGCTCCAGAAGCAGAGCACTAGTATACATCAGCATTAACAGAGGTTTAGTTGATGGCAAGCGATTCAACGGCATCATGATGTAGCCAGTCCATATTTCTTAATCAGAGTTGAAGCATTCATACATTATACTGAACAGTTTTAGGGTAGCATTTCCATCTTGATTTTCGTTGTAATTAGAAAAAAAAAGCACCAAGGTTTTTGGGTGGGGATGTATAGAGGGGATTTATGGTATAGCTATTTGTGTGTTTTGACCTGTTCCTTTCCATTTCGTTTCCGGATTTTATCAGACCTTAGTTGAATAATATTTCTGGGATCGATGTACACTATTTAGTTTTTATTACTCTAGGTGTGGAGCTCTAACGGTTCATTCTTGATGTCGTTGCTTAGTTCCTATTATACTGTATACAAATTCTGTTGGCATTGTTTTTTCATGACATTATTATGGAGAGTTGAATTGAATTATGTTTTGGTCAAAGTTCGACTCTTTTTTTAGTTCAACTGCGAACTGGAAGCATAGTTGGGTCTGATTAAAACCCGGAAAAGATTTTAAAGTGAACATACAATACATCATGAACAAAAGATTTCCATGGTTAGACACAAATCGCCCTCCTGCCGGCCATGGAAACTGGGCAGTCTGGCCCATGGGGTCAGCGCGCCCGGCCTACTACTTTCACGGGCCGGGCCGGCTCGCCCGGCCCATGGAGGAAAATCATGAACTCAGCTCGGTCCTTAGCCCACTTTACCGTATTTGACGGGCCCAAGGCAAAAAAGTAAAAAAAATCATATAAATATATAGAATGAGTTTATGAATTATAAAATAACTTAAAGTTATTATATAAGTAAGATACATAATTTATGAAAGTATTTTGATATTTTATTAGTTGAATTAAAAAAAACTCATAAAAGTATGAACTTAGAAGAAGGAAAGTTGGAAGTTGCAAATAAGAGTAAAATTACAAGACACGTCTAAGGAATATAAGGAAAATTAC